GGGATTTTGTGGGGGGTGTCCGCCGGTCTTGGGGTGGGGTGCGGAGAGGGTGAGGGTGAGAGTGGGAGGGTGTGAGGAAGGAGGAGAAGAAGGGTTTTTGATTTGGTGATTTTGTGGGTTTTAGGGGTTTGTAGGGGTTTTAAGAAGGGAGTGTTCCCTTAAGGTTTTAAGAAGCATCTTTAGTGTAATGGTCAAGGTCTTGGTCTTATATGTGAGAGGTCTAGAGTTCAATTCCCATTGGTGACACTAGGCTTTCTTTTTGGATGGTGTGGTCCTTATCTTTTTCCTTCTTTTGTTTTCTAGTGGTGGAAGGCTTGGTTTGTTTTCCTTATGTATAATTTTAGTTCCACCCCCGTACGTAAGATCGAATTTCGATCTAGTCCTTTATTTATAATAATTCCGAAGTAATTAAGCTAAGTAAGTAGTTCCACTACGAATGTGGTTACAAGGAATTTGCCAGTTTATCCTAGACAGAACTCGTCTTCTTGGTTTTCTTCCGCGGGGTTGGCATGGTCCTCGTCTTCTGGGGTTAGGTTCCCCTCCCCGAGGTTGTTCTCATTCCCGAGTTCGGCCTGGGTGCGGCTCATGACGAATATCTTTCCGGGAGCGCCGTAGTTTCCTTGGTGAGTGGTGCCCTCGTGTTGACCCGTGGTAGTGGGGCATGGCCTTTGGGGTTGAGTGCACTGGAAGGCCTTGTGTCCTTCCTCTCCGCAGTTGAAGCATCGCCAGGGATTTCCCATGCAGTCCTTGCCTCTATGGCTTTTGTTGCATTTCGGGCAAGGGAAGCTTCCTGTGTTAGCTCCATTGTTCCCTAGGGGTGGCCTTTGGCCGGCCAGGTTGCTCGGTCTTGTGTTGGTGTCGTTTCTTGTCCTTTTTACGGGTGGTGTTCCACCCCCGGTGCTTCTTTTCCGTATCTGTTCTTGAACCCCGCATTGTAGCAGTTGGATTCGATAAAGATTTGCGGCACTGGAGTAAGCCTCGTTGAGGGTCCGGGGTCTGCTTACCACCAGTGCCTTTCGGGCTTCAAAGTTGAGGCCCGATACGAACCTCTCTATTTTGGTCACCTCAGTGGGGACTAGTTCCGGTGCGAAGCGTGCTAGTTCCAGGAATCGTTTATGGTATTCCATGACGGTGGCCACCCCTTGTTTTAGATGGAGGAACTCTTCGTGCATAGATGCTTTTACGTGTGTTGGATAGAATCGCTCTCGTAGACGTGTTTTGAGGTTTCCCCAGTTGAACCCTGGTTCTTGTCGGTAAGCCGGTCCCTCGTGAATCCACCAAAGGTCTGCCTCGTGTCCGAAGTAGAACGAGGCTATTTCCACGCGACGTTCTTCTGGGCATTCCACTAGCCTTAGAATCTTGTCGAGGGTCCGGATCCATTCCTCAAAGATCACGGGGTCTTCCTGTAACACCCCGTGTTACGGCCTTCAATCCCGGATTAATTATTTAATTAATCCCGTTAATAATAATTAAATATGATTTAATTCGGTTAGGTTTCCTTTAATTAATTAATAAGGTCCACCATGAACCGTGGACCCTTGCCTAAATTAGAGTCCTAAGCCTATTAGGAATAAAGAAAGTAAACCCTTTACTATTCAGACTCTAATTAGGAATCCTAGACCTAGTTATCTATTAGGAATAAAGGAAGTAGGCATTTTACTATTCAGACTACGATTAGGATTCCCTTTAATTAATTAATATGGTCCACTATGGACCATGGACCCTTATCCCTAAAATAAGCCCTTAGTCCTATAAGGAATAGAATTAGTAAACCCATACCATTCAGACCCTAATTAAGAGTCTTAAATATATAAATAGGGATATAGGAGGCACCTAGATCTTTCACCACCATAATCTCTCACCACACAAGAAGTTCCAAGAATCCCCTTAGGAGAAATCAAGAAAGAAGAAGGCTTAAAGAAAGACCCTTCATAGCCAAGGAATTAATTAAGGCTAAGAGGTAACCCATGTCTCAACAAAACCTATTTTTATAGCTATGATTTCCCCCGTAGGATTTCCCCATATTATCGTGTATTGATGATTTGTGATATTATTATTGATGATTGATGGGATAATTCCATGGGTGATCTTGATATTGGGAGATTCTTGATAATTATGGTGTTCTTGATGATCATGTGGAGTTCTTGATGTTTATATGTCGTTCTTGATAATTGTATGGCATTCTTGATGCTTATGTGTTATTTATACCGAATCTTGTAATTAGAAGACGAATCGTATTCTTGTTGGTATAAAAGTGATTAGAACCCTAGGTTGTATCGTATGATATTATTCTTGGTGTATCGGGTGGGGAAATCGCATGTTTGGGTGTCGATTATGTTTAGAAAAGCATGATAGGTTATGTGCCGTACGTTTCTCGTATTTGATCCGTTAACTGTCTACGTGTTGATCGTTAATTGCGTTGTAAAGTGTCTAAGCATGGGTTCGGGTTCCACAATGGTTCCCGGGGCGTTTTGTGTATAAAGAGTCAGTGGGGGGTAGGGGACCCCGCCACCTACCCGCGGCCAGAAGGGACGTCTCCGGCAGCGGGCAGCCGGCGGGCGGGCAGCTGCCCACCGGCGACCCGCTGCCCGGAACAGTGCTTACCAGCGGGCAGCCGGCGGGTGGCCCCCCCACCCACCGGCTACCCGCTGGAAATCTCCCCCATTCGGAACCCCGGCTTCCCCGTTTGATGTTTCCCCGATCCCCGTGGTGTCCCAACGGACTCCGTTCATCGTGCCGTGTCTAGTTTGATGTTTCGGGTACCGTTCGTAGGTTTATGAGTCTTATATATTGTATGCTAGTTGAATCGGTATCCCGTTGACCTAGGTGGAAGAAGTATGAACCCCTTAGGACCATTCTTAGTATGTGAAGGATCACGCATAGGTTTTGTTATACGCTTTCTCCCCTTCCCAATGTGTTAATGTGGGTTGCATGTGCTTGCTATGTGTTATGTGTGCATGACACCCCAATTCGGTTGCGATCGGATTGGTTATTCCTGAGCTGCGGTTCAGAAGCTGGCTGCGGTCAGATTTACACTCTTGGGCTGCGGTCCACCGTTTGGTTGCGATCAAACGTTTCTACATGAGCTGCGGTTCATATTTCCTGGCTGCGGTCAGATGACATACTCTTGGGCCGCGGTCTACTGTTTGGTTGCGATCAAACATTATGATGAGCTGCGGTTCATCGGTCGGTTGCGATCGACCCCTCCGTGTTGCGATACGGGGCAGGGTGCTGCGGGGCCGTGTCAGAGCTATATTCGCTGACCCTCATGTATGGGCATGCGATTGGTCCTGTGGCGCCAACAAAGTGTGCTTATGTGATGAGATATGGATGAGTTGTTGTTATGAGTACCTTGGGGTGTGACTATGGGATTTATGCTAGGGATTCGTATATGTTGGGTTAGGGATATTTATTGTGCTCATCTTTATCTGTCGTGCCTGTTTGTAAACTGTACATGCTTGGTATAATTGTCGTCTGTGCTTAGCTCTATCTGTTGAGTCTATCCCCGTTTTAAAAGCTAGAGTCTCGTAGGATATATCTTCATGCTTCAAAATGGTTTTCGTATATCTATATATATCTCTATATATAATGTATTTCAACGCGTTGGAGTGGGTTACCAGCATCTCTCGCTGAACAGATATATTTGGCTTTCAGGCACAGACGAGTAGATCACTAGAGCGCGCTAGAGATTCGAGGCATAGTGTAGATAGTTTCCCTTTCGGCCTGCGTGCCATTTACATTATTACGGAATTTAGTTAGTTAGCCTGTGCATCTGAGTTCTCCAACTCAGGTGTGGCATAGCACCCCGTACCTTTATGTTTAAACAATGCTCTGTTTGGGATTTAATAAGAGAATACCTTTATTATATAAGTCTTTAAAAGTTTTAAAATTTCGGGGTGTTACACTTCCTCTCCTGAAAACGTGGGGGGGTCGATGATTCGAAACTTGTCGGGCGACGTCTGAGTTCGTGTTTGATGGAGGTGGTGGGGGCCTGTTATTGCGAAGAGCTACGTCGCTTAGTGCTTGGCCGACTTGTGTTAGTTGCTGCAGAGTTTGGGTTAGCGGGTCGTGTATGTCGCGTTCCGGTGTTCTTGATTGTCTTCTGTTTGGTGCCATGTTGTCGTTCTTCTGGGTGAACGTTTATAAGGATGTTGGGTGGGAGTTTTGGTACCCTTACTTTGGTGTGATAAATGGAGGGGAAAGTTCCCTTTAGATAAGTGTAGGGTAAAGTGAGGGAGAGTTATGTGTAGGGTTCACACACTACAAGAAAAATCGCGAATCGCGACGGAAAAATTCCGTCGCGAAACAGCAAAATTCCGTCGCAAATCACGTTTCGCGACGGAATTGCGACGGAATCCGTTCCGTCGTCTATGAGCTTGTCGTATTTTTATACGCGACGGAATAATTCCGTCGCCAAATATGGCAACGGATTTGGCGACGGAATAAGGCGTCGCAATTTTGCGACGGAACTTTTTCCGTCGCAATTCCGTCGCCCTTTGGCAACGGAAATTATTTCAACGCTAATTCCGTCGCTATTTTGTAAATAAATATTCCGTCGCCATATTTTTTATTCTGTCGCTATTCCGTCGTGATTCCATCATATTTTTTAATTATTTTTTTTATAAAATTCATTTATATATATTTTTTTAAATAGTAATATGAGCTTTTAAAATATTAAACATTCAAATCCAGAACTAAATGCAGAGAGGAGTATAGACAAGACATAAGTTGCCCATTTGACTTGTATAAACAACTGGAAATTTTTTCTCATTTAATCAATGAAAATTTACATGACCTTACAGACTATAGGATACAAACCTCTAGTTAGGCATCTTCTGCATAAAACTGAGACAGAAAGGCCTGGTGATTCTTTCCTAGAGCTGTTTATATATACTATTCAAAGTTAGAAAATGCACAATGATGGGGCGAGTAAATCGTGGTTAATCCAGGGTGCAGCTTGGCCAAAAGCTTTTCCACTCAGAGATCTCATCCTCGTGGTTAATCCAGGGTGCAGCTTGGCCAAAAGCTTTTCCACTTAGAGATCTCATCCTCACTGTAAAGCTTTCTGATCCCACCATAATAGCCATCTGCTTCATTGCCTACTTCTTTATGCTCCCTTCGGTTTATAGTCATCTCTCTCCATTCGGGGTTCGGGGAATACTGCCTGAACTCTTACTTAGCTTCACAGTATCTGTCGAACAACAAATTTAAACCCAAACCCATGAACACGATTACAGAAAAGGGTCCTTGAAAATCAAAACAAATACGCTAAAAAAACATTCTTTTTCAGCATAAGTCAGCAGAGTAAACATGCAACCCCATACATCAAAAAATGGTTCAGGTATAAGTTTGACATAACAAGTTTTTCTACATTTCATAGAGCTGTTATATCCAAATTCTGACACCTAAGCTGCCATGCCACCAAAGGTCTTGGATATGATATGTAAAGCCAGCAGTGGTCATGGCACTTTTTTTTTTTTTTAAACAAGCATGATAAACCTTGAATAACACACTTTAGAATAAACTAGTGATACATCTGGTATCATAAGAAAGTTTAAAGATTTAATTTAAGGTTAGGGCCATAATATAACCATTTAATTCTACTACCACCTATTCCTTATATTACCAATTGAATAAGGAATTATATGATTCATATAGCCCTCTATACATTTCACTTTCCTTGATAAGGTACTTGTTATTGGTGGCTAAATGAATTTACATAGAATCTTCCCTAAGATTTTACTCATTTGCCACAAGATAACAATTCCAAACAATCAATCTCAATATCTCATAGTTATAGTAAAACATTCCCACAACAGTCTCAAGATTAATCATCAAACAACAAAACCCACAAAACACAATTCATTTACAAATATGATACTGCTGAAATCAAGACAATTCTATATATATTGGCAGTAAGCAAGCACAGCTGAAACTAGAGCAACAACATCCATATATGTGTTAAATTTATTGAGTAAACAGCTCAGCATTGACCTGTCAAGCATTCTAGATCGAGAAGTGGTCTAGTCACACTTGCTAAAGGGATATATTGCTTCATGCAAAAATCTAGATGGATATCTTATTACCATAACAGCAAAAGATGAAACGATCATTATGCCAGTTTTCACCGAATATTCGCCTGATGCTAATGGAAGATATGGTTTGTTCACCTGAAAGAAGAATAGGTTCAGACTTCAAATGCACTAGCAGGAAAAAAATTAGATTGGTAAAAGAAGAACAATTGAATTTGATGAAATCCCAAAGTAAAATTAGATGATACTAAAAAGTAAAAAGTAAAATCATTCAAAGAATAATATATCAAAGGCACCCAACCAAGGGACCAGCGCAGGTCCTTGAGGATATTTGAACATTATCGTTGGAGAATTGTGAATCCGTCTACAAGACCGATAGGATGGCTCCTAAAATTCCAGTCTTTGAACCTTAGTAAGTCTAACATGTCTCCAAAGGCAATAATCATTCATGCCTCGCATTTAGTAAACGGTTTAAAAGCCACAATCATGCATGACTACCATATATTCTTAAATTATTTTAGCTTTAATAGAAATGTTATGTTCAGGATTACTGGATGAACTTCATCCACTTAAAGGTGTTCCCCGAAGAATGTTGGGGACTATCAAATCTATTGGAAAATAGAACTGATAGTTAAGCTAGAAAGATATTAGTTTCTACTGTGAACTAGTCTAGATGCACAAAATTCAGCTAGTTCTGTGTGTTCAAAAATTAATCATAATTTGAAAAGGTAAAACAGGAAAAAGAATCAACAATCTAAAGAACTTCCTACTGATCATCCATTACGCAGTGGCTAAGTGGCATAACTCCTAAAAGATCAACCAAATGTGCATTTATACATGAATGCCATTAAACAAAACCATTGCATACAGAGCTTATAAAGAGGCCACGAAATACGAATCTGAGATGATAATTGTCATACCTTATCTATTTCAATATCAGACAACTGATTCAAACCAACTATGTATATATTCATAAAGAGGGCAGCAACAATGGCCTGCATTAAAGTAGTTCAATGCGCAAATTGTAAAACCAAGTACAGAACTCTGTTAACTCGAGAAACACATGAAGCTGACCTCAAGAGTCCCAGTGAAAAATAATGGAGAAATATCTGAGAGCTTCTCAACTGCAAGAAGAGAAACTGAAAGTATGCTCAGTGCCTGCTCACAGAAAAGGATAGTATAAGTGCATGCTTTTCAACATAAAACAAATGGAAGACTTCCCATGTGTATTGTCCATAATTAATGAAGTTATTGAGAAATTCTATTGCACGTACATATCAAAGTGCATTTCACTGAAAATGGGCAAACAGATGATTATTATATACAATTACTTTGGACCTTTAAGTAGTTGAAACTTTTGTTGTGATCTTATCTTTGCAAGCATGACAGTGATTATTTCCTTTCTTTAACTGCACACTCATACTTTATCAAACCAAAGACTCAAAAATCTCCACACAGTTAATCTGCAAAAGCTCCATCAAAGTGCCCCTTTCACCACTATTCAAAAAAGAGAAATAACGGAATAGTTTGTGTTCTCACTTGAATCCAAAGTGAATTATATATGAGCATATTTCTAAACAAGGTAAAAAATGCTAATAGTTAAACCCAAAATGTGGTCTTTTTAATTTTAACTTCTTTTACAAAATTCAACTCCTATGAACAATCCCCCCAAAAAATGTACAAGAATTAAACAATACAATTGCATTCTGAACACACTTAACTAAAAACAACCTACGCAGAGATTAACGGGAACTAGAACGATGCGTATATAAAACTACAGAACCTCTTGAAGAACCCGGATTTATGAGAAATAAATACACTGAAGATGCCACTAAAAAAATAGGATTTCCGATTGGCAATGGAAGAAGAATGACACTAAAAAATAGGATTTCAGATTGCCTCACTGTTCAGGCATATAGGATGTGATAAGATGTGTTCACAATTTTTATTCCTTGTTCAGGCATTAAACAACATCACAGAGTCATTCAATAAGTTCCCTAATTACTCAAATCACCAGAAGTATTGATAAAATTAATTCATATGGCTTTTCCGAGCCAACCAGTAACATTTACTCCAAGGAAATATTAAATCATAACAAATTAGGGTTATGAACTATATGAACTATTCTATTTCAAATCATAACAGATATTAGAAGGAGGGTTCAACAAGAAGGAGGGCACTCAATCAATTCTATATGAACTATTCAATTCAACTTGAACAAAAATCAGAGGAATTAGCATTTAAAAAAAAAAAAATCAGTTCTGTTCTACGTTCAATTTTGTTTAAAAAAAAAATTGAAGTATTCAATTTAAAGAATTACCAGTCCAAATCTCTGCATTCTGCGTTCGCGACGAGTTCTGCTTTCTGAAGCGACGGCCGTCGGGTTTCACGGGGACGGCGACGAGGACAGCTGCACGGGGACGGCGACGGGAGAAGCTCGGCGGTGTTCGGCAGAGTTCTGAAGATGGCTGCGTTTTGGAGTTCTGAAGACGTGTTCTTGCGTTTGGAGTGCGATTTAATTAGCTTAGGGTTATAAGTAACAAAACGCTACATCAGAGAAATAAAAAATAAAAAAACTATTGCGACGTAAACAAATTCCGTCCCATTTCCGTCGCCATATTTAGTTTATACATAAAAACTTAATTAATTTAACGACGGAATTCGTTCGGTCGCAATTTCCGTCGTCATTTAGCGACGGAAATAAATTCGGTCGCCTTTTCCGTCGCGATATGGACGACGTAAAATATTTTCGTCGTAAATTCGGTCGTAATTGTTTGACGCCAATATTTCGCGGGCTTTATTTTATCTTAGCGCCAAAGTTCACGACGGAATTTAATTTCGTCGCCGTTTCCATCGCTATTTAGCAACGGAATGCATTCGGTCGCCGTTTTCGTTGCTAAATCACGACGGAATATTGTCCGTCGTAATTTTCCGTCGCGATTCGCAATTTTTCTTGTAGTGACAGTCTCACCGCGCGTCCTAAGGTTCCTGAGTCCTACGTTCCTAAATACCTAAAGTTCAAGCCTATTGTCTTAAAGACTAGTCTTAAGAGTCTTATCCTAGGGTCAAACTTAGGCTCTGATACCAACTGTAACACCCCGAAATTTTTCAACTTTTAAGACTTATATAATAAAGGTAAATTCTCATTAAATCTCAAAACATAACATAAAGAGTACGGGGTGTTATGCTACACCTGAGCAAGAGAACTCAAGTGCACAGGCTAACTATCTAATGTCCTCAATAATGTAAATGCATAAGCATGGCAAGCAAGCCGAAAGGGAAACTATCTACTTCTACGCTCCAAGACTCTAGCGCGCTCCAGTGTCTACTCCTCTGTGCCTGAAAGCCAAATATATCTGTTCAGCAAGATATGCTAGTAACCCACTCCAACGCGTTGAAATACAGTACATATAGATATATACATAGATATAAGAAAAACCATTTCGAAGCATGAAGATATATCCTAGGAGACTCTAGCTTTGTAAAACAGGGCATAGACTCGACAGATAGGGATAAGCACAGTCAACAGTCATACAATTTACAAGCATAGGAAACAGACTCGACAGATAGAGATAAGCACAGCCAATAGTCATAACCAAGCATATACAGTTTACTAGCATGTATCCTATGGTCACGCTTTCATAATATTCATAACATCAAACTATCCATATCTCATCACATAGCACACTTTGATGGCGCCACAGGACCAATCGCATGCCCGTACATGAGGGTCAGCGCATATAGCTCTGACACGGCCCCGCAGCACCCTGCCCTGTATCGCAACACGGAGGGGTCGATCACAACCGACCGATGAACCGCAGCTCATCATAATGTTTGATCGTAACCAAATAGTGGACGGCAGCCCAAGAGTAGTCATTTGACCGCAGCCACGAATATGAATCGCAGCTCATGTAAAACGTTTGATCGCAACCAAACGGTGGACCGCAGCCCGAGAGTGTAAATCTGACCACAGCCAGCTTCTGAACCACAACTCAGGAATAACCAATTTGATCGCAACCAAATTGGGGTTTCATGCACACATAACACATAGCAAACACATGCAACTCACATTGACACATTGGAAAGGGGGAGAAATCGTATAACGAAACCTATGCGTGATCATCCACATACTAAGAATACTCCTAAGGGGTTCATACTTCTAACACCTAGGCCAACGGGATACCAATCCAACTAGCATGCAATATATAAGACTTATTCAACCTACGAATGGTACCCGAACATCAAACTAGACATAGGCACGATGGACGGGGTCCGTTGGGACACCACGGGGGTCGGGAGAACATCAAACGTGGAAGCCGGAATCCCGAGGCGGGGGAATTTCCAGCGGGTAGCCGGTGGGTGAAGGGTCACCCGCCGGCGAGGAATTTCCGGGCAGCGGGTGCCCGGCGGGCAGTCGCCTGCCTGCCGGCTGCCCGCTGCCGGCGACGCCAAACCTGGCCGCGGGTAGGTGGCGGGTCCCTTACCCCCACCTACCCCCCACTGACTCTTTTTCACAAACAACGCCCCGGGAGCCTTTGTGGAACCCGAAACCATGCTTAGACACCTTTAAACGCAATCGATGACAACACGTAGACAATTAACGGATCAAAAGCAAGAAACATACGGCACATATCCTATCATGCTTTCTAAACATAATTGACACCCAAACATGCGAATTCCCACCCAATATATCAAGAATAACACCACACGAGTTTCACGATACATCCTAGGGCTCTAATTATATTTAAATCATCAAGAACGTAATTCATCTTTTAAGCAACAATGTGATTTATCAAGAATATCACTCAATCATTAGGTATCTAGGTTTATCAAGGATATCACACAATCATCAAGAATCTCTTTCCATCATCAAGGTTATCAAGATTACCCAAGAAATCATAACATCAATTATCAAGATCACACCATTAATATCATAACTGAATCATCAATACACAAGAATGCAGGGGGATGCCTAGAGGGAGATCATAGCTAAGAAAATAGGTTTTGTTGAGACATGGGTTACCTCTTAGCCTTAATTAATTTCCTTGGCTATGAAGGGTCTTTCTCTAAGTCTTCTTTCTTTCTTGATTTCTCCTAGGGGAATTCTTGGAGCTCCTTGTGTGGTGAGAGATTATTGTGGTGTGGGTTCTAGGTGTCTTCTATGTCCCCTATTTATATATCTAAGAGTCCTAATTAGGGCCCAAATACTATAGGCTTACTAACTCTATTCCTTTTAGGACTAGGGGTTGGGTTTTTTGAGGTGAGGCCCACGGACTATGGTGGGCCTTTTTTCCTAATTAATTATTGTAATTTAATTCTTTCTTTGGATAATTGATTAAATGATTAATTGGTTTTAGGGGTCGTAACACGGGGTGTTACAAAAGGTACAGGCCTAGCGGTTACTGTGCTATAGGCACAAACCCACCTTAGACGTGCTTGCCGTTGAGCATGGGTCAGGTTATAGGTGGCAAAAGAAGGGGTCAAATGACAATTTTGCGCAGCATAAAATTGTAGATCTGGAGCATCACGTCGTGTTGAAGACCAGTCTCACCGCGTGGTCCGTGTCAAACCACTATAGAAAAAGATGTAACACCCCCTTTTTCTAAAATCCAAATCCCAATTATATAAGCTTAAACAAGGTAAATAAGCAAACTTAGATAACTAATTAAACATTCAAATGATCAGCTAAGGGTGTCACCGCCACAACCACCACTCGCGGTGACTGCACAGGCTACAAAACAATTAACTAAACTAGAGTCAAGCTCTACAAACATCATAAACGTGGGGAACAAACCCCGGTGTCCACACTGCGCACCAAAAAAAGACAGTTTAAACAACATCTATCAACAGTACGACTAAGGTAGAAAACTAAACTAGTAACTACCATCTCAAATCTACGCACTAACTATCGCGTGCGCTCTCAAACACTGGGCCCACCTGAAAGGGGTTATAAAACAAGTAGGAAAATAAACCCGTTAGCAAATTAATGCTAAGTATAAAATCACTCAACCCTGTAAAGTACTATAGATATAGATTGGAAAACATTTCTCATTCATACGCAATCTCAAGTATGAATATAATCAGTTACAAGTTACAACACTCAGTCAACAAGTCTTCATAGATAATCATAAACACTTTTATATGCTTGCAGCCTAAACTTCATATAAACATACTTTACACATATCTCATACTTTAACACATTTTCATGCTATCAACAGATATCTCCAAATATAGTCTAATATGCACTACTCATACTCATACTGATAGTTAAAGAGATAACTGAGATTCAACAAGCAAGATCATGCTATCATGCTAACTCTTAAACAACAATAAGACTTTACTTCTCAAAAAGCTCTAAACGCAACTCATGCTAAGTCATGCAACAAGATATGACATGATGCTTTAAATATAGATATACTCTCGCTCTTTACATAAAAAGAACATTTTCTATGGAGGTTTTCTGTTGAATCTCATGACTCACTTTTCCCTTCTTTCTTCTTTCTTGCTTTCTTTCTGTACTCGTGGGCGTGGTAGGAACTTCACGAATCGTGAACGAACCTATCTGGGCTTGGCATCTAGCCAGCCTAATACTCATCTCGCCCACAGAACCGTTACTCTTAGTTCTTATATAATATTTGTGGAATCAGGTATCGTACTTGTTAGTGTGCACACACCCCCTAACCAGGATTCCAAGCCCGGCGGGTAGTATCCAACCTAGCAACTCGGGAATATCAGCCAAGCTACTTCATAAACATCTGTCAGTCCTCTGTGATAGTTTCATTCCTTTCTCAAACTTCTTTCTTTCTCTTTTCTTCCGAAAGGACCTAGTCCTAACGGGGCCTCCAAAACAAGATTTCCTCACGATATAGATAGCATATATATAACTCATGCAACTTCTTTTCTCATGCAAATAAACTCTATAATATGTAAGCTTTGCAATGCACATAAATCTCAAAACACTTCTCTTTCTCACATTTTGGAAATCAAATTATCATGCAATCTTCTTAGTGCAAAAGATAGAGATTTTCCAAAATAGATATAGGTTTTTGAAATAGATCTTAGGCTTTACTTAGAGCCTTCATTGCACTTAATCTTTGAAATATACTAAAATGCTCATTCACTGAGAAGATGGAAAATACAATATTTCATGCCAATATTCTCAACAACTTAGCAAATCTTCTCAACAAGAGCCAACAAAGTATTAAGCATGCTACTCAACATTTATATACTCAAATGCTAAAATTTCCTTCACAGAGCCAAGTTCACAGCCAACACACAGAGCATTCATCTTTCAATTCCTCTATCTGCTAAACAGGTCTCCTATCTCAAAATCAAACAAAATCAACTTCTACTAGCGCGTCATAACGAGCCCGAGTGTCCGAGCCGCAAGGGGCCACGAGTCCCGATCTGAACAAAACATAGATGAGCCACAGAGGGCCCGGCCTGTTCAACTTTTGGCCTAGCGGAGCTTGGTGACGGGGCTTGTGAAGCCCAGCCACTTGGCTCCGCCAAGCGGCGGCCTTGGGCATCCAGCTGGGATCCGTTCCCATGGTCCGCTACTTCACGGTGCTAGCCAGCGGACCTTGCCTAGGTCTGTTGGCTAGGACCGTGAGGTCATCTGGTGCACCAGATAGTGTGTACCAGAGCCTTCTTCTTCACCAAAAATCAACACAAAGCATCAAAATACACCTCCAAACCTCAATAAATCAATCATAGAACATCAACAACACACAAATAACTCATCAACAAGTATTTTCTAGCATTTATAAACATCTAACTCAAGCTTCTAGCATTTAACAGAGTAAAATCTTAGTTTGGGAGTCCATGGTTTATACCTTGTGCTTTGCCTTCACTTGTGTGGATCCCCTTTCTCTCTTCTCAGATACTACCACATTCACCACATATTCTCCTCAAACAAACAAACACACATAAAGCTTAAGGAAAAACTCAGAGATTGGAGGAATAGATGGATATCCTAAGAGATGAGATGAATGGATGGAGGATATGGAATGCAAACACTTACTGTGATTTCTTCTTCTTCTTGGTAGAACTCTAAGAAATAGAGTGGAGAGGCAAAAAAAGGGGATCAGGGGAAAATGAATGGAATAGTGATACTTATATAGGGGTCCAAAACCTTAGGTTGATTTCATTGGTTGATGAGGGTAGAAGGGTAAATTTGCTTGTTCAAAAATCAAACATCCCCTTTGGCTTTGTAGAAAACATCCGGGTTCATTATATAACATAGTCCAAGGCATTAAAATAATTTTAGATAACTTTGGGGTCAAAAATAGAGTTTCTAAAAGATAACTTCTAATTAAAACATTGGGTTCAGGTTTCACTCAAATTGACTTTTTGGATCAAAACTTGGTACATAAATATACCTGAGACTTAGGATTTTCAAAATAGGTTATTTCTTGGTGTTGAATTGTTTTAAAAACTCGATTTAAAATATTTAATTCATACACCGTTTTTAGAAAAAAATTCGGAAGAGTGAAAATAATTATTTTGAAATTTATTAAAATAAAATTTAGGAAAAATATTTTTGGGTTGTCACAAAAGATCTCAACCATTCTACTAACTCTTGTCGTGGCGAAATACTCTACAAGACAACTTCGAATATTAGACTGATTTCGGTCCTTTAACTTCAGAATTTGCCTTTATGGTCTTCATAAGAGTTGTAGCTATTTAAATTGACTTTCCAATGCTGCTAAAATCATTCTAATTGGATATTTCTACATCAAATTACAATCAAAGTACTGAACATTTGTCATTTTGGGTGGAAATTTTAATTTTATAATATTTGTTTTGTCTTTGCATTGGTTTGCCAACATTACAAAAAAGAAAACCATTCAAAACACACCAAGAGCCGTTCAAATCACGCATAAAGCTATCATTCAATTAACATATACAAAATTTAATCATTTAAAATGATTAGGACAAGTGAAAAATTAATCTACAAATATGAGCCAAAGTCTGTTCAATTTGTGCATTATCAACTCTGCCAAACCAAGTTGATTGCAACGTTGAGGTCAACTAAATTTATAGACCCCATGAGTATTCTAGGGTGTCAGCCCACAAGGAATGTGGTCCTAAGCACTAACTCGGATTGATTCTTGTGAAGCTAGTTCAATCATAACAAGGTGAAAGTGACGAAATTAAATAAACCAAAACTAAATGCACATAATGAAAAGAGATATAGAAGATGCAACAAAGGTAAAGGATATGGATTGGTCCAATGCATATCTTGAATCAAACTAAGGTAGAATTATATATATATATATATATATATATATATATATATATATATATATATATATATATATATATATATATATATACACACATATGAAATTGCACCGTGAGTTTTGAATTAAAAAAAAAACTTTATTTTTACTTGATTTAAGTTATGCACCAATTACGTTCATTAATTAGATTTGGTTTAACAAATATAAAAAACAAAGGCAGGACGCATAAAATAAAGTAAAGACACAAAAGAATTGTTACGCAGTTCGGAGCTCCTTCTCCTACGTCTGCAGGGCAACCCACGTTTGCCCAATCCATTATAGATGTTCACCAAAAGGAGTATTACAAGAGATAAGTATAAATGGCCTCCAGCCTTTACCACTACAAACCTTTCTAACAACTATTCAAGACTGAGTCGTGCAACCCTTAACAATCTTCAAGTTGAGTCTTAGCTGAACCTGGTACAGCTTTTCAATACAATTTAAACCCACACAAAATACCGTATGCTTATAGTAGAATAAAGAAATTAGTTTAGACAGTAATTTGCTTTCTTCGAAGTTTCAGCGCATGAATTCGTAATTCCAAATTGGGAAAGAGCTTTCCTTTTATAGCAGTAGTCTTTAGCTCTTTCAACCCCTTAATAATAGTTAACCAAAGCCACTCAAAATAATAAACAATTCACCACCTCTTATTTTGTCCACATGGCTAGCGTTTGACTTCATCTTGATAGCTTCTTGTCCATAGATGTAGCATCTTCAATTAAAGAACTAGTCCACTGTTTTTTAATAAAATAAAACAACAAGCTACCATATAAATTGCCAATTTTATTTCTTTAGGATTAATGTGTATTGCACGTAAATTCATAATGTACATACACTTACAATCTCCCCCTTTGGCAATTTATTTGGCACAAAAATAACTAAAGCATAAACTTTGGGCAAGAGTGATAAACAAAATAATTGAATTTTTTTATTAAGTTAATTGCCCTTAGTTAGTATGCTTTTACATGTATACCTAATTGAGAAGCAACCCTCGAGCAGACTACTTTTCTTGGACTTCATTATTAGGTTGAACCCAGAAGCAAATCAAGAATATAAAGAGAACATAGATGCATATCATACTATTCCCATAGCATACCAAAGAAATGATCAACTATTACCAAGTTTCAAACTAGCATACCATACTTAAGAAATAGCATTACCAATCAAATATTTCCAAACAGCATACCATACTTAAGAGATAACATTACCAATATTACCAAGCAGTTGTTTCCAAAAGACTCCCCCTTTGTTCATACTCCCCCTTTTTTATGCCAAAAAAATTGACAACAAAAATCAGTGAACATCAAAGTGGATAGGTTTAACGTGCAGATGGGGTACCCGAGTCCGAAGAGGTTGCATCATCATCAATAGCAGATGTACGGTTGCGACTGGCAGCAAGGATATTGGCATGAATGGTCTCAAGCCGGAAAATCTCTCGCAGCTGCTCTTCCAATAACTTATCAAATCCCGAGAGCGTGGCTTGTTGAGAGGCAATAGAACTGCGAAGCTATGCAGCAGAGGCCTGAAGGGTAACAACTAACTGTCGACGCACCAGGAGAGTCGGAGATTTCTTAGGGATGGCAGTGGTGGCAGTAACCGGAGCTGACTCACTCTCGGATAAGGAGACCTGTTAGGAATAAAGTGTAATGGTTTTGATATGCCAAATTTGTATTTGTAGATCCCCCAATTTTATTTCTAGGTCTAGTAGAGTCTTAGACCGTGATCGGGAAATTATTTAATTATGAAAAGAGAAAAACAGAGGAAAATGGATGAAAATAGAAGAAGAAGATATAAAGCCGAAAATCAAGAATTTGTCTGGAGAAAATGACAAATTGAAGAAGAAGATGAATGATACAATATTCACGTCGCTACTACTCAAAGATATCCCAGAAGAATTTTCGTGAAGAAAATTAATATTGGAAGAATGCATGAAATTGACTTGGAGATCAAGCATCTATGGAAAGAAAGAAGTACATCAAATGTGATTGGAGATTTAATCAAAAGCTGTACGGACGAAGTGGATGATGCTTGATATATTATTCGAAATGGCTCAAGTTTGAAACTCACCATCAACAATTTTACAAGGTAAAATTTGAGAAGTCAAATTAAATTAATCTGATGGAGTTGGGCGCTAGTTTAAGCCTTGGGTCAATTACAAGTGGAAATTGGGAAGCAATTCCACTTGGGTGGCAATTGCATCTATTTCACTTGGGTGGCAATTGAGATGCAATTGCACTTGGGAGCCAATTCAAAGGAATTGGGAGCCAGTTTCAGAGAAATCAAAATCAATTGAAATTGGGAGCAAGTTTCACATGGAAATCAATTCAATATGGGAGCCAATGTAGAATTGAAATTGGGAGCCAATTGAGGTTGTAGTATGGGATGCAATTTCAAAGTTGGGGACCGATTCAAAGAAGACATGGAGATCAAATTGAATTGAGATGAAATTCAATACCAGGAGAAGTCTGGGAGCCAATTTCAAAGTCAAAGTCAACAATTCAAATTAGGAAGCAATTGAAAGCACCAGGAGCAGTTGGGAGCCAATTGAAAGTCAAAGTCAATTGAGAGCCTTAGGAAGCAATTGAAAGCACCAGGAGCAGTTGGGAGCCAATTGAAAGTCAAAGTCAATTGAGAGCCAATTACAATGGAGAAATTCAAATTGGGTGCCAATTACAAGCCAATTGAAATTGGGTGTCAATTACAAAGGAGAAATTCAAATTGGGTGAAAGTTCAAAGCCAGTTTGAAGTCTGAGAACACCCAGACGTGAGAATGAAGAAGATGAAGCAGAACTTACAGTGAAAAATATTCTCACAAGGAAAATACTAGTTTAACTAGTATGGGATTAAATTGATGAATATTTTTAAATCCCAGAGATACAAGGACCACTTCAGAGCTAATCAGAGAAGCCATTCTACACCAAAACTGAGACCCAGATATTTCCACTCAACGTAAAACCAGAGGAATATCATATGAAGTTTGGGAGCTCATTTACATGGAGATAAAACTCCATCAACGGCTAGCTTATCTCTTTCTGACATTTTTGCAGAAGATAAGATAAGATCTCTGACAAAAGATACAAGATTTCAAAAATGAGAGCGTCTCTTTCCAACGGAAAGATTCTCATTACCAGCTATAAAATGATGAAGATATGAAGACTTGAAGAACAGAAGAAAGAAAGAGCAGTTGAAAGAACTCACGAACAAGAGAGCAGAAAATTCGAATCCATCAAAGGGATCGAATAAAGCAATTAAGCTTGAAAGAGCATAGAGCAAAAATCTCATTTGGTACAGAGCATACCAAAAATCTTCAAGTGAGAAGTGAGAAAAGAAAAAGAACTCAGAGAGCTTCAAAAGAGAAATATTCTGAGAGTTCTTAAACAGAGCAAAGCAGAGCAAAAATATCAAGTGCTTTACTTGATATATTCAAAGAGAGAAAAACACTCAAAGCTGTCAAGAGAAATCATTCCAGAGTGTTTATCTTCATCAAAGAGACCTGCGCATCATTGAAGATCATCTACAGAGTCTCAGAAGTTGGAAGCAAGACAACACTTGTTTTGGAGCAAAACAAGAGAAGGGAGGAAAGTAGCACGGAGCTGTGAAATCCTGGATTGTCACACGGAGCTGTGAGATCCGAAGCAGCAGTGTCGGAGGCACTGGGCGTGATTGGTGTGGGCTTGGTGATCAAAGCACCAGATCACGGATACGTTTCTACCGGAGTGTGGAAGACGGGGGGAAAGTAACGCGGAGTCGTGAAATCCTGGGATAGTAGCGCGGCGACGTGAAACCCGAAGCAGCAGTGCGGTGTCACTGGGCGTGATTAGTGCGGGCTTTGTGATCAAAGCACTAGATCACGGAAATTCATTGTATCTTGGAACCAAGGAGTGGTAGATATAGTGAATTGGCTCTTGGAGAAAAGAGCAAGTGGAGTAGGAGGATTACACCACCTCGCGAACCACTATAATTGTCTTGTGTTCTTTACTGCTTTCTTTACATACTGCTCTTTACATATTCGCTCTCACGAAGATATACTGCTCACACAATCTCACACACACTTTATGTTTATTTATTTCCGCTGTGCACCATACTCTAACAATCTAGTTAAGAGTTTTGGTTTATCTCTGTCTTAGCAATTGTTGTGCTGTGCGAAAAAGTTTGAAAGTCTATTCACCCCCCCCCCCCCTTCTAGACTTTCACCTTACCTCTTTTGGGACCAACAAGACCGGTGCGGAGAGAGGAGGTGTTGGAACGGATGACGGATAGAGAGAGTCCCGGTCATCATAGTGTGAAAACTGAGTAAGCCGATCATCAAAAACATAAGCGATGTCTGATTTAGTAACCTGTTCATCATTGTACGGTCGAAATCCTTGAGCAAGGAGCAGGCCATAAATGAGACAAGGATATGGAAGGTGAATCTTGGCCTCTTTCTTTTTCACATGATAAGCCAAAATATGAGAAAAGATAATTTCCCCGAGATCAAATGTGAGACGGTTACGAATCTTGTAGAGTAGTAGTGCCAGTTGTTCAGAAAAGTGATGTACACGGACGGCAGGGAGCCAATTGGCAGAGGCAAGGCGGAGCAAAATCGAATACACAATGGTTAACTCTTGAGATTTTAAACCGTTTTCAGGCCAGGCAATCCGTTTATTGTGAGTGAGGACAGCAATAAGAAGATTCAAATCCAGATCGACAGACTGGACCTGAGAAGGACGATCTAGGTAGGCATTGATCTCGGCAAGCCCAAAAGCATACCATCGGTTACGGATGAAAACCTTATGGAACCGGGACGAACCATTTGTGAAGGTGTCCACTATCAGATTAGTTTAGAACTCAGCTGCCAACCATGCAGAATAAGATCCAGGAAGTGAAAGACTGGAAAACAGAAGTTGATCTTTCAAAAGCGGAAGGATATTGCACTTTGCGAGAAGATCCTCTTCATTAATAAATTTTTCAATGATCAAATCCCTTTTGGAATGAACTTCCCAGTCAGCTTTAAGGTTACTGTCAAGCAAGATTGGACTGTAATTCTTTTTGAGCAATGGCTGAGAGCTTGATGGAGCACTTTTAGCAGTAGCGGTCGAAGGAGACATGTTTGTGACAAAGGTTTTCGCTCGTGACCGTTTGACTCTTGGTGGAAGAAGAGAACTCTTTCGTTGAAGTTTGGGAGAGAACATATCCACGTCATCTAGTGACTCATGCTTCCTTTTCTCGGTACCTGAAAAAACAATTTTTCCCTTCCCTTTTTGGGAAGAAGCTGCAAAGGGAATCGAGACAATAGGGACAGATGCTTGTGTATCAACCAAAGGCACAGGTTCCGTCACCGATTTTGGAGGGTTGGATTCACAAGAGACAGGAATGCCAAAAGCTGAGCAGTGTAGGGATGCAGAAGGTACATTGACATATTGTGAGACATTTCTAATGGAAAACGGAGAGGATACTGCAGGCATGAAATCAGATAAAGCTATTAAATTAGGCACAATAGGTAATGCATCAGATAGACTAGAAGATGACGGGAAGACACTATGTAAACCATGAGTGGCTGGATCATATGGGTCACCGGGTATAGGGAGTGAATAAATATTTTTAGGCGCCAGTGATGTAGAAAATTGTTCTGGAATGTTGAGAGATACATTAAGTTTCCGAGAGACAGGTAAGAATGACATACCGATAGGTTGAGTGGAGGAAGGATGATCTTTGTGGGACTTGGCCGGCGAAGGTGAAGCGAATCCACTGTGTTCATTGTCCGGAGGGATGGGCCAAGGCTCAACAGTGATATTTCGGGCAAGAGAGCGAAGTTGCCGGGTTTCTTTAGCAGTTAGATCAGCAATGATATTCGGATGGTGAATAATAGAAGACAGAACACGGTCCTCAGATTCACGGGTAAGGGGTACATCGGCATCAATTATTTGTTTAAAGAGGGCACAGAGTTCGAAATTTGTGGTGAAGATGGTGAAGGGATTTCTATTAGGATTCACCATTGATGGAGCTTGGGAGAGAGACACGGCAGAAACGGTGAAGGAAGAAACCAAGATGGAAGGTGATAGTGGTGTCTCGAAAATTCTTAAAGGTAGTGGTGAATGGGATTGGTTAGAAAAGAAGGTGATGGGATGACATGATTGAAAGCTATAATATAGGTTTTGACTTTGAGTTTTGTTAGGAAAGAGGGAAAGAGAAACTTAATTAGGATTTAATTGGTTAGACTCCCTTTTAAATTACACCACATGAATTAATAAGATTATAATAAAACAAAATTAAATAGGATAAAAATCTGACAAAAAATAGGAATATACCTGATTGCCGTGTTGAGTAAACAGGTGAATAAAAAAAATCTGAAAAATAATAACCTAGAGAAATAGGATAAATAATTTATGCGAGATACCTGGCAGATGAAAAATCAGTCCATGAGATTGCATACTCCAAGGGCTGCTCTGAGTAGTTCAAATCGTGACTTGTCCAACGGCTTAGTAAATAGATCAGCTAAATTTTTTTCAGTAGAGATGTAATCTAACATTACTTCTTTTCCTTCTACCAGTTCACGGATGAAGTGATGACGAATATCTATGTGTTTAGTTCGAGAATGTTGCACCGGATTTTTGGAGATGTTAATAGCACTGGTGTTGTCGCAAAAGAGTGTCATATTTTTCTGATCTAAACCATAGTCAGAGAGCATTTGACGCATCCAGAGCAGTTGTGTACAGCAACTACCCGCAGCTATATATTCGGCTTCTGCAGTGCTGAGCGAGATTGAATTCTGCTTTTTACTAAGCCATGCGACAAGATTTTTTCCAATAAAAAAACATCCACCGGATGTACTTTTTCTGTCATCAGCGTTCCCGGCCCAATCAGCATCACTAAATCCTGTGAGACTGAGATTAGTGTCAGTGGAATACCAAATACCGTAATTGAGCGTACCTTTAACGTATTTTATTATACGTTTTACTTCCTTCAAATGTGACTCTTTTGGATCTGCTTGATAGCGAGCACACATCCCTACACTGACCATGATGTCTGGTCGGCTAGCAATTAAGTATAGTAGACTGCCGATCATACTTCGGTACAGTGTGGAGTCAACAGAAGTTCCATTTTCGTCTTTGAATAATTTGGTTGTTGTTGAGATAGGAGTTCTAGCATCTTTGGCCGAGTCAAGACCAAATTTGGATACAAGATTTCGTGCATATTTTGTTTGGGATATAAAAATCCCTTCCTTGGATTGGTTGACTTGTAGTCCGAGAAAGTACGTGAGCTCACCAATCATGCTCATTTCAAATTCTTGTTGCATAACTCTGACTAGTTGATCTGTTTCACCTGTCTGTGTAGATCCAAAAACAATATCGTCAACGTAAACTTGTGCAATAGTTATGTGTTTACCTGTCTGTTTGATAAATAGGATTTTATCAGATCCTCCTCGTTTATAATTGTTTTGAAGTAAACATTGGGCAAGTCTTTCATACCAGGCTCACGGGGCCAGTTTTAAACCGTATAAGGCTTTTTGTAACTTATATACATAGTCCGGATGATGTGGGTCTTCAAACCCTTTTGGTTGCGCAACATATGTATCTTCAGAGAGATAGCCATTCAAAAAGGCTGTTTTGACATCCATCTGAAAAAGCTTGATTTTTAGAGCACAAGCAATATACAGAAGTAGCCGGATTGATTCTAAACGAGCTACTGGAGCAAATGTTTTATCGTAGTCAATTCCCTCGATTTGGGAGTAACCTTGAGCTACAAGTCGTGCTTTATTTCGAGCGATATTGCCGGCTGCGTCAGTCTTGTTTCGAAAGATCCACTTGGTCCCTACAACATTGACATTTTCTGGTTTAGGAATTAGGGTCCATACCTTATTTCTTTCGAATTGTCCCAATTCATCTTGCATGGCCTTGATCCAGTGTTCATCGGTTAAAGCTTCTTTGATATTCTTTGGTTCAATCTGCGACGTGTAACAAGAATATCCGGCTAGTTCAAGATAGTCTCATTTTGGTTTACCTCTAGTTTTCACACCTGAACTGGGATCTCCAATCACATTTTGGATTGGATGATTTTTTTAAATACGTGTTGGAATGTCAATGTCTTCTTGATCATTGTCTGATTCTGAATCTGGTTCAGGTTCAGGTTGATTAGATATGGGCGATGAGATGGATGACTCAGGGTTTTGTTCCGGAGTGTCAACATCAGGGGTTTTGGACGGTTAGCTTCAGGTTCTATCACGGGTTGAGTAATTTCTACTATCTCACGTGGTTGATCATCAATTACAACATTTTGTGGATTCCATGATAGTTTTGGTCACTTTATTATAAACTCTGTAGGCTCTGCTATTTGTTGAATAGCCGAGAAAGATTCCTTCGTCGCTTTTTGGTTCAAATTTTGAGACCGGATTTCGATCCTTCAAAATAAAACACCGTGAGCCAAAAATATGAAAATATGTAATGTTAGGCTTCTTACCTTTCCATAATTCGTACGGTGTTTGAGTTGTGCCTGGACGTAGATAGACTTGATTGATGATGTGACATGCGGTATTGACTGCCTCTGCCCAGAATTTCTGTGGTAATCCTTTTGCATTTAGTAAAACCCTTCCCATTTCCTGAATTGTGCGATTTTTCCGTTCCACAACTCCGTTATGCTGTGGAGTCTTTGGAGCTGAATACTCATGTGTGATTCCTGACTGGTTGCAGAAGTCATCGAACAGCTTATTTTCAAATTCTCTATCGTGATCACTTCGGATTCGAATAATAGACTCATTTCTTTCTTTTTAGAGTTTTAACCCTAGTGTTTTGAAGGCTTCAGGAGCTTCGAACTTTTCCCTGAGAAAGATTACCCACGAAAAACGTGAAAAGTCATCGACGCATACCAGTATGTATTTCTTACCTCCGAAACTTTCTGTTTGAGTTGGACCAACGAGATCCATGTGGACCAATTTGAGGCATCGACTTGTGTTTATGGTAGGTTGAGCTGGATGAGACGATTTTGTTTGTTTCCCAACTTGGCAGGCACCACAGATAGTTGACTCGACTTTCATCTTTGGTAACCCCCGAACACCTTCTATTTTTTACAAGTTTATCAAGAAGTCTGTAACTCAAATGGCCCAGTTTTTTATGCCAGAGTTCAGCTTCGTCTATGCTGGTCCTGCAACAAAGCAAATTGTTTGTTAAAATATAGCAATTATCAGTTGATCTTTTACCTTCCATAACACATTGATTCGTCTTATCCATAACACTATAGTTGTTTTTTGTGAAGCACACATTCCAGTTTTGATCGCATAATTGACTTATGCTGATAAGATTTGCATGAAGTCCACTGACGAGTAATACTTTGTCTAGCTTTGGCAAACCAGCAACATAGAGAGTGCCTATTCCAGTAACCTGCCCTTTAATGCCGTCGCCAAAGGTGACTTCACCTTTGCTGGCATTTACGTTACTTAGAAACTTGGCATTTCCTGTCATGTGCCGGGAACAACCGCTGTCAACGTACCATTTTTCTTCTCTTCCTGCACTTTTAGAATGAAAAGAAACAAAATCAACGTAGTCAGCCTTTTAACCCAAATTTGTTTTGTGAAAGGTTGAATATTCTTGTGCCTGGACTTCTCGATTCTTTGATCCTTGTAAAAGTAGTAGCATTCAGGTCTGGTATGACCTCGAAACCTGCAATAATGACACACGGAGTTATAGACTTTATAGTGAAATTTATTTGACCTTACTAAACCATGAGTGCGTTTCAATGTGCTAGATTCAGGAACATCCTCCGGATCGGGTCTAGATGCCTTGACAAAAATGGTTTTATCTTTTGAGTTGCTTCCAGTGAAGCCCAGACCGAATTTTGTAGAAGTTTTTCTTCCGGAGTCAAGAATTTTGTCAAGTGTTGAGGTGGTATCCATCATTTGGATTTGTCATTTGTAGGTGCTTAGCTCCTGCTTCAAGGTCTGCACTTCTTGTTGTAGTTTCCCTTCTCGGTCAGCTGCCGCTTTAAGTAGAACATTTTTAGTCTGTAGTTCGTTTTGTAGATTTCCTTCTCGATCAGCTGCCTCTTTAAGAAGAACATTCCTATCTGCTATTTGATTTTGATAGATTTTGCTAGAATTAGTTACAATTTCTATCTCACTTGCTATTTTACGATTAGCTTTTCGTAGGGCTTCCCATTTGGGATACAACTTATTATACTCAACTTCAAAAGATAAAGCGTTTAATTCTAAATCTTCCGCAGAAACATACTCACCACCCTCTGAATTAGCCACTTCAATAGACTCATAACAACCAACAACACGGGCAGTAAACGCAACAAAGTTACCCGAAATTTCTTCGACATCTGATCCAGTTGTTTCAACTTCGGGCTCGTCGTCACTCCATGTAATGGCCGACATGGATTTTTTGCGTCGAAGATAGGTGGCACACTCTGCTTGTACATGTCCAAAGCCCTCACATTCATAGCACTTAATTCCTTTATTATTAGGTTTTTCTTTGGACTGTCCTGGACGGAAGGTAGATTGTTTGAAGTTTGATGAACCTGTCCTGGGACCGGCTTTGGACGATGTTGCTCCTCTTTGTGCATTTTGGTTGCGTGAGTTCTTGGATACCTGTTTCAGAATTTTGGAAAACTGTTTTGTTAAAAAGACAACTGTATCATCACCTGATTCGTCAGTATCAGATACAACATTATTTTCTTCAGCGGCAAAAGCTACATTTATTTGTTTTTTCGTGTGATCAGTTAATATTTCCATTTCATAGGTTCTTAGATTTCCCATTAACTGAGTAACCGTTTTGTTTTCCCAACCATCGTGTTCTTGGATCGCTGTGACTTTCATTCTAAATCTAGGTGGTAAGGATCTCAGTATTTTCTTGACAAGTTTTGCTTGTGAGAATGGTTCACCAAGAACCATTGCACGATTCGCCAGTTCTTGTACGCGTCAATGAAAGTTAATGATAGTCCCATCCTCATTCATTTGAAGCTCTTCAAAATCAGACTGGACAAGCTGCAGCTCCGATTGTTT